TCAACCTAATGGGTACCCATTTGTAATCCATATTAATCCGCTTAATTAAAATGAATCATATTACTCAATTTATTTAGAACTCATATTAATTAATATAGGTACCCAACACATTTATTTATGGGCGGGTTGAACAGATTAATGGATAATGGGTTAAGATTGCCACTTTTATGACAAACCATCACTAATTTTTGAGTTAAATTCAAGAATGATCTCTAAACTATTTGCTTCGTCTGACTTTAGTCCAATGTGTTACTTTAGTTACCTCGAGTTGGAAACCTCAATGTGTTACTTTAGTTCCTCCTAGTTGGAAACCTGACTTGAACCTGAAAGATAATGTGTTATGGCTGCCCAATTCAAATTCTTATCTTTTTTCCACTCAGTTTGCATGGGAATGTTTTAGGGTTAAGGGGCATCACGAGTCTGGGCCAAAATAGTTTGGTTTACTGGAGTAGTTCCAAGATTTAGCTTTGTTATGTGGCTTGTTGTGCAAGAAAGATTACCGACGCAAGATAAACTTTCGAATTATGGTATTTTACATAGGCCTCTTGTGTTTTTTGTCGTAGAGATGTGGAAGGCCATAATCATTTATTTTTTGCTTGCTCTTTTACTAGTAGATTGTGGATGTCACTACAACTTAAGTTTAATGTACAATGGCCAGGTAATGTGTGGAAAGATTTTGTCCAATGGTTTGCAAGGAACACATGATAGGGAAAAAATTGAGTAGTCTGATTGGGAGATTGATGTTGTCCACTTTCGTCTATAAGGTTTGGATGGAGAGAAATCAGAGAACTTTTAGAAATTCTTATTAGGATGTCACTACTATTTACAAAGACATTGTAAACTGCATTAGACAGAAGCTTAATTTGCATAGAGGGGTGGGGAAAACCCTCCTTAATTTATGGCTCCAAAGGCAATGGTCCCTCCCATATTCTATTTTCTGCTTGGACTCTTTTGAGGAGCTGGAAATCTTGGTTTCTGGCTGCTTGCTCATGGACTGCTGGTTGGAGAATTCCTCTTATGGATTTGCTGTTGGGATGCCACTTCTTCGTCTAGAAGACCTTGTATTCCTTTCCCCCTTCTTTCTTTGTCTTTTGGATGTCAAATGTTTCGCTTGTTGGTTGCTGGTTTTTATCCGATGGTGCTGTGAACTGGTTGCTGATTTTTTCTAGCGCCTTTTTGCTTTGTGTTGTGTTCCATCATGCTGATGTTATATTTTATTTTTTGATATGCAATAATATAATAATACTATAAGCGATCTAATTAATCTATTTAACAAAATAAAAGTTAAAAATTCTACAATATAATAAGATGTGCAAATACCTAAAGGGGTCAGAGAGATACCTAAATAAATGATAAATTAAGTACTCAAAAACTTATAGAATAAATTAATACTCAAAAACTTATAGAATAAATTAATAATTAAATTTAACAATAATTAAAATATTAATTAATTATTTGGTACATAATTTTTTATTTAATTTAATTATACATATAATTCTCTTGTTTTATAAAAATAATATTATTTACATTTATTTATGGGCAATGCACGTCATATATATATAGGCCTCCGCATTCGCACTAAGCTGTTAGTCACATTATCTTATTCCTTAAGATATTTGTCCTTACTAGTTTAATCATTGGGAGATGCAAAAGCTTCTCTTGAGCCCCATAAAAAGAATCTTCTCGTAACCGTTTGGAACATGAATCAAGTCAATAATACAATATTTTTAGAGTTCTTCTCTTGTTCTCTCTACGGATTCAAATTCACATACAAAGAACGTAGAAAAAAGTAAAAATAGACAATTCAAGAAATTGGATCAAATCTGTGTCACACAATTCGTGCAGATGCGCTTTATCACTCCTAGGGCACATTCGTGCTTTGAGTGTGGATTGCTCTCAGTTTACCAAATTTACAAATTCAAGTTTAATATTTCTTGAATTCGGCTAAGCAGAAGATTCAACTTCAACTTTGTAATTATTTTGAAATTAAATTAGATTTACAGGTATTTTAGTGTTTTGATTAGGCTAATGTAACCTTAACCTTTTACTTTTTGGAGATGATACACATCAAACTTGAATTTTTCAAAGATGATAAATCAACTCATTTAAAAATTCAATGGTTTGTCACATATTTGCACATAATATTTAAGTTTTTAAATTATATTTTTATTAATTTTTATGTATCTATGTATATAATATGACACTCTTGAAGACGATCCCGCTCTATTTTTTTTATTTATTTATAAGTTTTGTCACTTTTGTTGTCGCTCCTGCTAACCACTTTAGGTAATGTTATCCTTAATGCCCTATTCTTTGAAATTCAATGACAAACTAGGTGATGTAATGAAGGGAAACGGCGCTCAGTTTGGCGGCGGAATTGGACACGTAAATTTGTAGACCTTGACTACTTCAATCAATTGCATTCAGAATTCATAAATCCGTGAACTTGGAAGAGCAACAATCCGAATAGTTTGCCTTGGTTTGGATTTTGGCTCATTTTAGTCCGTTTAAATTATAAAAATAATTAAATCTATACAGTTCAAATAAGTCTAGCTAGGTTCGAATAGGTTTTTATTTATAGGTATTCAAGAAAATGATGGTCTTACATTTTTACCCATTAACATGAGACAATTTAAACATCTCTTTTCCTATTTCTCAAGTAGATTTTTGAGAAGTATGTATATAATCTTCAGATTTTATTGTTTGTTTCAGTTTCTTAAATTTTGTGCTGACATATTGGATTCAATTTTGGCTCGAATGCTTTTGCAAAATCAAGCTTAAGTAAGTATCAAAGCTCAAACAGTTGAGTTTGAGTCGTGTTTGAGCTCATCTACTCATAAACAAAACCTGAAGATATACTTAAGTGCTACAAGATAGCTAATCAACATAACAGGGCTTTAGTGCAAAATAATGACTATTACTGAGTAATGTTTATGTTAATGTTTTGTGTATAGCAATGGAAATTTATTCTCACTCCATTGGAAAGCCTAATTCTTCTAGTGTCCGATGTATGGGGTCGGGATTTGGGTTTGAGTCTCGATCTGATCTTTTTCAGGGTGAGGTCCAAATCCAAGGTCAGAATTGGGTTTGGGGTTTCAGTTTTAATGACACCTTGAATATGCCTAATATTGAGTTCGATAGTTGGAGTTGTGCTCTCTTAGATCGGGAGCCTAGTTCGCTTTGGATGCCCCTAGAGCTCGAGTTCAGGCCTTGAGCTCCCTACATCTACCTCTTAAAGAGGGCAGCATAGAAGACAGTTGGCTTCCTCTAAGCACCACTTCAATAGTAACGGTTGCTTATCCAGGCATAAGAATTACAATTGCTCCAGTACTCTCCACAACCGCTGCGAGATAGTAGCAACCGTTACAAGGAGGAGCAATGATCACTCCAAGGATCAAGGGAAGCTCAAGACCAACTATAAATGAGGGGCATAACCCCAAGTAATACACACAAGCCATTGTAGACTGGAACAACAATTCTGTAATCCCATTTTATTAATATAAGTCCGAGGAGCAGGAGACTCCCTTAAAAGTGGATTAGTCAAGCTTCCAAACTGGTGAACCACTATAAACTCTTCACGTGTTGACTCTTGTTCCCTGGTCTCAAACCTTAAGAGCCTAAGAGCTCAAACTGAATAACTCAGTTCCCATTAATCCCTATCTCTACTCTGTCGTGTTATAAACATCATCAAGTTCAATTATAGGTCAAGGTCTAGGTCCAAGTCGCAATCTGGGTCAGGTTTCAATGTCCGAGGTCTAGGTTTGAGTCATACTCTAAGTTCGAAGGCCTAGGTGAGGTGTGGGTTAGTGTCCAACTTCTAAGACCAATTTCTTGTCCAAGTTTTTTGTGGGTTCGGGTCTGGTGTTGGGGGTAGAGTCCAAGTTTGATTCCCAGTGAATGATCAAAATTTTGTTTTGAAACGGTTAAAACATATGAAACATTTCTATTTTCCACGAGAACGAAACGAATCAGTGATGAAATCAAAATTCTAATACTTCTAAGTGTTTCATAATGATTGGAAGTGTTTTGTAATGTTTCATTGCATTTGTAGTACAATTGTTTCGAAATGTTTGAAATTATTTCAAGATACTTCGATATATTTCGACCAATGTTTTAAAAAAATAATTCTTAAATTTTTTTTTTATTCTGTTTTCAAAATATGTTGAAACGTTTTCGAAATAAGTCGAACTGTTTTCATTTCCTAGATGACCGAAATGAAATTTTGATCATTATTCTCATTTTGGGGCGGGGTTTGGGGATTAGTACTATATATGAGATTCTAAGGTTAGGGCATCACAAATAGTTATATTATTGAATGTAATCAAGAGTTTTTTGATCAAATTTAATTTAACAAGTAAAAATGTTGATTGATCCAAATACTTTAATAGGTTTTCAATTCTTTTCTTTTCCTAAATTGATTTCGTTCCCTATGTTTATTCCATTCACACGTAAAAATATGACCGCGTACTAAATGCAACATAATTACCCAAAAATTCGTGGAATTCCCACAACAACTGCTATGCGAGTAATTCACGATTATCAAATATGTTACTACGGATAACGTGTTTGTTTAAACTTGACAACCTGTTTGTATCGAAGAAGTAATGTTGCTTACCAAATTTTAGCTGCATCATTGCTTTTACTATTTACAAATATTACAACATCATCAACTTTAGTCATTGGTGACATCATGATTTTCTGATGAGTTGAAGAAGAAAACGAGGTCAGAAAATCATCACGGACATAATGTTTTGTTGTTTCTGTTCAAATGTTACTTCTTTCTATTCAAGGTTTAACTGTTATAACCTGTTGATTTTGATTTAAACTCGTGATTCTTAAGAATAAAACAGTTATATTTCCTAGAATAGATCCTATATATACACTTGTCATGTTTCGCCTTGTTTTGTCAACAAATCAACCCATACTCTGGTTCTCAATATCATAGACATACAATTCACATTTCTACCAATATCATGTCGATTTCCTTAGAAGCTTTGGCAATGGCGGGTGCTAATTACCTTGAATGCAGTGTGGATTTTGAAGACTGGGAGCACCAAGACTTAGAACCACCTCCACCCCATTTATTAGCCGAAGAAGATGAAGTTGAAGATGAGGATGAAGAAGAAAACTATGTCAGGAGGGTGACAAATGTTAATTATGGCTCTCCTGTCGGAAATTACTTGATGGATTGCGAAAATCAGTCAGAAGCTTCTCATAGTCTGAAGAAACATTGCCTAGATGATGAAGGTGGTAATGGTGACGACGACTTTAATGACAGTGAAGGTGATGGGAGTAGCTATTGGGTAATAAGATTCAGCTGCCCTATTATACTGCTAGATGTCAAGAAGGAGGATGATGATCATGAGAACCATTACAAGGACATGGATATTCCACTGATGATCTCAGGACTTAAGTATGGCACCATGGATAGTCCATATCATATCCAAAGAGAATTTCAGTGTCTAATATTAACTATTGTTCGAATTCTACTTCTATTTGACGGGGATCGGAAAAACATTGTATAAGCTTGGATACAAAGACATGAAATTAGATAATTCGTTTCCATTTATTTATTAGTTTTGTAATTTAGGATTCATTGGATTTATTTTTAAGGTGATTCTTTATGGGATTTATCTTTTAATTAATAGTAGAGTTGTATTAGGATCTTTAATTTGGGAATGAGGATTTTTGTGTAAAAGGACTGATGTATTGATTTGAAACATACTTAAACTTGAATTAGTGAAGATTGCTAAATTTCTCTTCTTCCCCTTGTTTTTCTCGTAGTTCTTCCTCTTTCTTCTAATTATTTTTTTTCCTAATCATACGCTCTCGCCGATTTCCTTTTCGTGCTACACCGCCTTAGTATAAAATCAAATCAATCTACATTAAGTGGTATCAGTGGTAGTCAATCCACATTAGTGTTATAGTGTGCTTTAGGGAATCTATTTCTTTTTCCTAATATTGGGAACTGTCAGATTAAAAATGGGGTTTATTTACTATTAAAACTTACAATTAATCTAATTACTATTAAATTAGGCTTTATAGCATATATTGCTTGAGTTCTTGTTTCTTTTGTAGGTAGGTGAAAAGTGCGCAGCTTATGTAAAGTACTAAAAAGATTTGTCACAGTAGCATTACTTGCAACAACAGATTGCTAAGCTTTCTGTTAAACTTAGTTTAAAATAATATGCCAATTATCTTTATATTAGCTTCATCATCCATTAGTTTCTCCCACTCCTCAAAGAAGCTGGTGGACGGTGAATGAGCAGAAAAGTAAGTTGGTATTGTGCTTTCCATTCGGCTGTAGACAATGCCAGTAAGTTTGTAATGACTGCATTCCTCTGTTTTGAATGTGTAGTCTCATATTGATGGAAGCCTTTTTGCTTTCTTTATCTCCTATTGAGTATGGATTCTGCTAAAAGTACCAGCTCAAGGCTGGCACTTTCTTTAGAATTCTGGACTCTTGGTTTTGTTGTTAATCTTTTGGTTCTACTTTTGTAATGGGTGGATGCATTGTCATGTGAGCATCACCCTTTGTTTTGATCTTATAGTTCTCCTTCTTTCTTTATGAATATAATTTACTTTCCTAAATACTTTCCAATTCTATGAATTTGTATTTTATTACTCATTTTGGCCTTTCTAATTTGTAACACTTATTGTTTGTTTGGTACGATAGAACAATAGAAGGATGAAAATTTTGAAGGATTTATAAAACGTCATATTTGGTAAGGAAATAAAATAGGAAGGATAAAAAAGTGGATGAATTAACTTTTCTTCCAATTCACAAAAATCAATCCCTCAAAAATTGAGAGAAAAAATGCATGAAAAATTAATCATGTATGTTGAAATGTATGTTATTTCTATATATATTTTGGTATATACATGCTAGTAAATGCCCGTGCCTGAAGATACAGAGTGAAAAAATAAATTATTTTCAATTAAAAGACATACAAAATAAAAGAGCGCTAAGGATATTAAAGAATAACAAAAAACAACAAATTCATACCTAAAAGCATTATGAAACAAAAAATATTGAAAATTGCTAAAATCGAACACTTCGTGCATTTGAAGCATATTTAATGGCAATTTATTTTTTAGAATGTCATAAAACACCTTTCTTAACACATAGAAATGTCCAAAATTTGTCATTTGGTTCACGAGGTGGTGAAGGTGGCCAATAAAGTCACTGCAAAAATTATCAAGAAAACTCGAAAATGACAAAGAAATATTTAGTACCACATCTATGATAGGTTTCACCATTCTAAAAATTGTGCGCCAAAAAATCTATTGGCATATGATACTATTTTTAGGACTCTTTTCATATGTAAATTAGAAAGATCACTAAGCCAAAATGATATTAGTAAATCATTATTTTGCAGACACTCGGTATTGTTTTGGATTGGTCCTTGTAGCAAATAATATTGAAGTTACTGTATATCTGCAAAATGATACTTAAACGCACGTGTTAACGTGTGGATGAGTGAAACAATATTTTCTTAACTGTGCAACAAATGATAGTGAAGAGAAGATTTCTATTATTTCAAATTTTGCTGAACCAGCCCACCTCCTTTCCCAATGGTTTGATTGGTTTTTAGGAATAATTTAATAACTTTTTCGTTCATAAAGAATTTCTAACTTAGTGTATAATTAATGGTACAATATGCATTTATATTTTTCAATAAAAATTTAAAAAATTAAAATTAAAAATTTTAAAAATAAAAAATACTTTTTACATCTTATCAAACAACCACAAAAAAAAAGGTCAATCCTTCTTATTTTTCATCTCTCTTACCAAACATAGGAGGAAAGAAAAGATTCATCTCCTGATGGATGAAAAATGTATCACTCATATTTTTCATCTTTCCATTTTTTCATCCATCCTACCAACGGACCATAATGCTGTGTTTGGTTCGATGGATGAAAAAATGGAAGAATGAAAAATGGAAAGTGTAAGAGTGATATACTTTCCATCCTTCAAGGGAGGAATCATTCCTTCCTTTCTTTGTATTTGGTAAGAGAGATAGAAAGTAGGAAGGGTTGATTTTTTTATGTTTGGTAGGATGGAAAAAGTATAGATATATATTTTACCATTATATCTATATATAAATTTAATGTATATATAATACTAGCAATTACTTGTGCCTGAAGGCACTATCTAATAAACAAAGAAATTGCAATTAATTGATCATGCTCAACGTTGATGTATAACACAAAACATTGTATATCAATATGAACCATACAAAACAAAATTTAAATAAACCAAGATGTTTGGTACAATTGACCTTTAAATATCAAATGGAAAAAGTCATAAAACATTTAAAAGAAAATAAAATGCTAAGCTAAACTAACACCTAGGATTTAAACTATACTTGCTATGGTAATTGAATTTCAAATTTTACAAAAAAAAAAGAAAAAAATAGAACACAATTAAACTTATCAAAGGACCATACCAAATAACCATAAAAACAATCATAATTAATCTCCTCTAAATTGATTTTCAAAACTTTCAACCAAAGAAGGAGCCTGCCCCATGACCATCCAGTTCACCTCAATGCCGTAGCACCACCAAATTCTACTTCAGAATCTCTAGTGCCATTTAATACGAATTGCCCACATTGTCAGAGAACCTCTCATCTGAAAAAATAACAAACTCCCGTTAACAATCTCACTTACACATACACATATTGCTTGTAGATTTATATTAGTTTACTAGGTTGAGATTTACCTATATATACTTGTGTAGAACTTCAAATCTTACCACCTCTATAGCTCTAAAATTGCGTCAAACAAAAAAAAATTATGATTATCATGAGCTAAACTTACCAGTATAAACAAAAGTTTTTTTTTCACTTAAGCAGAACAACAAAAAGTTCAAATCATTCCATATATAAAACATACTACCCAATAACTACTGATGAGTTGTGCCGAAACGTACAATTGCCCTGAAACGAACACGATGAAACAAAAAATTATAAAAATAGAAGTTGTTAAACAAAATTTGCATGGAAAAAAAAACATAGATCACCTATTAAAATTTAATCCACCAAACTTGAAAAATATTCAGGTGCATAACAGAAATAAAGACTATGATGATAAAACCTTTCATAAATATCTCACAAAAACTATTTGATTTGCACCAAATAATATCAAGGTGATATACTCAAACCTGATTTTAGATCAACTGCATCAGGATAGAGAACTTTGGGGAGACATGTGTCTTAGTTTGGAAAGAGAATCATGAAAGATGAAAGTGTGAGAGACAGTTAATGTCTTAGTATAGAAAGTGATCCCTTAACATAGGAAACAAAATCAGGAAAATAATGATAACAGTTGCAACCTGTATTTTAGGGAGAGAGTGAGATAGAGTTGAGGAATGGGAGATTACTTAATTGCCGGATTTGATTGGGTTGGAGAATTAAATTTAGGGATTTTAGTTTTGGAAACTAAAAGTTTTGAATTGCAAAAATTTTTCAAGAGCTAATGTGGTACTTTGGATCGAAACGATTTGAGACGTCAATAGATTGAGACAGTGTGAAATATCGTCGACAATTGGATGAGGTTTTTTTGATCTCAAAACGATTTGAGCTGGTTTTTATCTCTTGAATTCAAAATCGTTCTACTTTATTATATAGATTCGTTTCGAAGAAGAATCATAGGATACATATTTGGCCTACTTCTAACCCTCGTTGCACGCAAGTTCCATTCCCTAGCCTCTTCTAGGGCTATCCAAGCGTCTTCATCCTCGGTTCCGCTAAATCTATCTATTGCCAAAAATTGCTCGCGCAACTATATTGGTAGTGTATCATATCACCATTAATCAAATGTCTTCGAAAGGAAAAAAAGAAACAAAGCTTCATTTCATGTGATGAAGCATATGACCCTGTGATGCCAAATAACTCGAACAAAGCTTTATTGCATTTGGTTTGTATTGGCGTGTCGAATATAATTGCAATGAATATGCATATCATGTTCCGGTTAGATGCTCCAATTGTTCTAATCCACCATCAGGAGGAAAGAGGGGGTGATGCACAAAATAGTCTCGTACAAGATCAACAGTCGAGTGTGTGATAAGGTGTAATTAATAGAAAATAAATAAAGCAATCAATGACAGTAATATAAATATTGAGTCAACACAAAAATATATAGAGGTTTGATCCGAATGACCTCCTCCACTTTAGGAAATGACAACGGTAGCTAGGGGGTCTGTATTTATGAAGTAGTGGTTAGGTCTGGGAGAGATACAATAGCTAGGAGAGAGAAAAGTTTTGTGTGTGTAAAGAGGTATAGAGGTAGAGCACAATGTGTCCTCTCATGTAGAGAGGATTTAAAATTTATAGGTATAGAGCCTTGGTTGAGGCAATGACGTGAGGGAGAAGGTACTAGATCTTCAGAGAGGATAGCTATAAAAGGTAAGTACAATTATGGTAGCTGTGATCCTCAAGGGTTTGTATTCCAATGATTTCTCTCCACGTGCTCTAATTCTTCTTGGACACTATGGATCTTGGTTTGGGTCAAATTTACGAACTGGGCTTGACCTGACTTTTAGCTGACTTGGGCATACTTGGTTTATTGGGTCTGGCCTAGTTGGATTTGGGCTCATCATTTGCCCCCCATGCCCCAATTTCTTGTTGTGTCAAGGAGATTGAGGGAATGAGTGAGCCCTTCATTCAAAAGATTTCTTGTTATGTACGGTAGTCTCTTCATTCCCTTAATCACGAAGCTTCTAATAACTCTATGGTTGTGCCTCCACTACTCTGGCTCTGTCGTCGATACCGAGAGAGGCGAGGAGAGAGACGTCTTTGATGTTGTTGGTAATGTCGTAAGAGGTGAAAAGGGTGTTGCTCATGGCATGGAGAGCGAAGTTGTAGAGGATGATGGTGCCAAGGGAGCAGACGATGACTCTTTTCATAGGTTGGGTGACGGCTCAGTGGCTGGCGATGCCGCTGGCATGACTAAGGAACTAGGTAGCACCCAAAGGAGCTCTTACAGAAGATCCTGGCGATGCCCATGAAGTAAATGAGGGCGATGACGCCTTTAGTGCTTTTGATTATTGAAGACAAGCCAAGCATAGAAGGGTCTTAAGACTATTAGGGTGGCGCCAAAGTGAATAGGGAGAGGAATGACACCAGCAACTCGCTGGACGATGCCAGCATTGAGTTTGACGACGCCAATCCTCAGGATGGGTTGGGCGTCGGGCCTGTTCTGGATGTGCTGGGCGTTGGATCTGGCTAGGTGTCACCAGTGGCCATTAGGCAGCTTCTGGGTGACGCCACTAGACAACTTTTGGGCAACGCTTGGGCAACTTCAGGCAGATGTCAAGACTGGTGTGGCTTTTGGGCGACACCTTGGGCAGTTGGTGCTGGTGTTGACTGGAGTTGGAGATGACTAGCACTGGTGCTAAGCAACCCCTTGGAGCAAGAGGTGATGCCAAGGCCAGTTGGGCGGTGTTGGGCAGGGTAGTGCGCGCTGGGCGCCGTCCGAATTATAGAAACCATGAAAAGACGACAAAACTTTGAATGATCATAACTTTGGGCTCGGTTGTTCGTTTGAGGTAATTTTTTTTTGAATTCGGGTATTTTTTTTCGAGATCTACGACATACAAATTTTCAAAAGCGTTTTGGACAACAAATTTTCCCAAAAATGCTTCTTTCTCTCTTAATTTGAGTTTTAAGCCCAATTTAGTAAAATCGACAGTGGTGGGAAAATGCGTTCTGGCATGTAGTTGTTAGGCATTCATGGGTGATGGGTTGGCATTCTGGGCTTTTGCCAGAGAGGGAGACTATGATGGCTTTTGGCTCTGCTGGTTCTTGATGTTGTCTTTGATTACAGGTGCTCCCATTGATAAAATGAAGATAGAGGTGGAGGTTCTCTATGCTTCTAGGGTAACATTTTTCCCCTCTTCTCAAGAAGGTGCCCCTAGTGCTTTTCGGCCGAGGTTCGATTGCCAGGTTACTTCTCGGGAGCGGGATTCGGTGGTGTCCTTACTCCTTCCCAGACTGGAATTTCTGTGTGTACCAAAGCTAGCCCTTGTATCGCTGTAAGAGCTGAGACTCTAGTACAGTCTTCTACGGGGACTATATTTCCACATAGCTGCTCTGTTTCTAGTAGTGGTTCGGTTTCCATGCTTTGATGTGACCTACTTCTAATCCAACATATATAGAAGTGTTTAGGTTACTAGATTAGGTTCTCAAATTAGATACAAATAACATTTTAAAATTACAAATATTGATTACTTGTTTAGATGTGGCCATTGTACTCAAGTTCATAATGAATCCCTCTTCCCCCCTATTCGTCCTCTGCCTCCTCTTTCCAAAATTCTTCACAAATCTCCCCTCCCTTGATTTCTTCTGCTTTTACTCCACTCTCACCTTCTCCCATGGACCCCACCCACCCAGAATCGTTCCCCATAATCATAAACAAGGGTATTAAATTCCCTAACCCTTTACCCAAAAATACCCCACTCAAAGAGAAGGGCACCGACCCAATTACCTCCAATGAATGCCCATCTCTACAAGCCATGGTGGATTTGGGAAAAGTTATTGAAGAAGGTCAGTTAGTTACCGAAGATCTCAGCCAAAAGGATCCCCCCGTTCAAAATAACCGATCTCCTATTTCCAACCCAAAGGACTCTTTTTCTTCAAAGCTTAATCACCCCTTTGAGCCGGGCCAACCTAGACCACAAGACAAAAGTAACCCTAACCCAAGATCCACTTGGAGCCAAATCGTGAAATCTGGAAATGTTTAAGGAGCTGTAGTTCAAACTCAGGTGATGAAACTCAAAAACTATGAGCCTAGAAGGGAAAAGGAAAGGGTGGTTGTTCAACCCCCTAAAGAGGTAGGAGAAAAGGGTAGTCTGGAATGACAACACTGTCTGGTTGGTTATTTCATTGAAACGAAGCTTCCCTACTCATTTGTTAATTTCATTGCTCAGAGAAATTGGGACAAGTTGGGGCTGCTTGAAGTTCTAGCATATGATAGGGGATTTTATATTTTCAAGTTCATGAGCGAAGAAACAAAAAATTATGTGTTTGAAGCTGGGCCTTGGTTATTCTCTGGAAGACCCTTGATTTTGAAAAACTGGCATCAATAGCTTAGTCACTCCAAAGAGGACCACTCCTTTATTCCCCTATGGATTAAGCTTTTGAATGTTCCATTACAATTCTAGACTGATGAGGGTTTAAGCCACTTATCCAGCCAACTTCCTCACTTCCTCCAAATGTAGATTGAGCTTTGCTAGAATTTGTGTGGAAGTTAGTGCATACTCCTAGCTCATTGATTTCTTCGACCTTGAAATGGAGATCAATGGCAATATTGAAAAGGTTAAAATTTCAGTTGAATACCAATGGAGGCCAAAATCTTGCCACTCATGCAAAATATTTGGCCACTTCGACTCCACTTGTCCTAAGATGGCTACTGTTTTCGCTTGAAAACCTAAAAACCTCCCACAAAAGCCTGAAGATTTCAGAAGTGAGAAGGGGAAATCCATTATTTCCACAGTGGAGTTTGTTTCTCCTGAGCTCCCTACCTCTACACAAGCTCAAGAGTAGCAAATCACTCAAAATCCCCCAAAGGTGTTGCTTCCATCCCAAATTTAACATGATTCTTAGGTAAACTCTATACTTGAAACTACTTGTTGCTTCCAGCACAACCCTCTCTCCAGTCTCCAAATAGATTTGAAAGCCTCCAAGTTCAAGAAGGCCAATTGGTAGTTGATCTCAACCCTGCAACTAGTAACATTACAACAAAAAATATTTTTTGCGACTTTTCTTTTATGGCGATTTTATAATTTTCGCAAAAAACTCACTATTCGCGACGATTTTATAATTTTGTCTCAAATTTGTAAATTTGACAATTTTTTGCGACGTTTTTTTACAAAACGTCGCAAAAAGTCGATTCCTTCTTATTTGTTTTTGGTGGGAGAAATGGCGGGAATTGACAATCTTTAACGACAAAATTTTTTTGTCACAAATAGTTTAATCTCGTCGCAATAATAAATAGTTTACACTTTAAAGTAAAATAAAGTCTAAAAGCAATTTTTCGCGACGTTTTTTAAATACGTCGCGAAAAGAAGGTTCCTTCCAAATTTGTTTTGGGAAAGGAATGGCGGAAGTAAAAATTCTATTCACGACGTTTTCAATTCGTCGGGAAAAATATACTATCTATGACGATTTTTGAATTCATCGCGAAAAATGTGAGACATTTCATGTTTTTTGTATCAAATTAAATAATAATTATATAAAATAAAGAATTTATTAGCCATGTTTTTAAATTCATCAGAAACATATACTATTGACGACGTTTTTTGAATTCATCGCGAAAAATTTGAGACATTTCATTTTTTTTATCAAATTAAATAATAAAAAATTAAAATAAAGAATTTATTCCCGACGTTTTTAAATTCGTCAGAAAAAAAATACTATCTGCGACGTTTTCTTAATTCATCGCGAAAAATGTGAGACATTTCATTTTTTTTTTTGGTATCAAATTAAATAATAAAAAATTAAAATAATGAATTTATGGCCGACGTTTTCAAATTCGTTGGAAAAAATATGCTATCTACGACGTTTTTAGAATTCATTGTGAAAAATGTGAGACATTTCATTTTTTTTGTATCAAATTAAATAATAATTATATAAATAAAGAATTTATGGCCGACATTTTCAAATTCGTCGGAAAAAAAAATGCTATCTGCGACGTTTTTATATTTCATCGCAAAAAATGTGAGACATTTCATTTTTTTTGTATCAAATTAAATAATAAAAAATTAAATTAAGAATTTATTCGCGACATACTTATATTCGTCGGAAAAAATATACTATTTGCGACGTTTTTTGAATTCATCGCGAAAAATGTGAGATATTTCAATTTTTTTGTATCAAATTAAATAATAAAAAATTAAAATAAAATAAAATAATAATTTTATTCCCGACGTTTTAATATTCGTCGCAAAAATAAATTTCTCTCCTAATTATTTTTTGGTGAGGGTAATGGGAAAGTTGGGAAAAAATTTTATTCACGACGTTTTAAAATTCGTCGCAAACCTCTTTACTTTGGCGCCAGTAAATGGCGGGAAATGAAAATTTACTTACGATAAAATTATTTTTGTCACCAATTAAATAATAAAAAATTAAAATAAAGAAAAATAAAAAAGCTTGCTTTCGTTATTTTCACTCCTTCGTTCGATTGAAAAAACCCTTTTCCCTCTTCTTCTTTTTATCTCTTGCCGATCCTGTGCTCCCTCCCCTTTCCCTCTAATTTCTTCATTTCTTTTCCTAACTCACCCCCCATAGACGTGAACTCCAACCACTGAGCCCTGAAAATCCATAGCTATTGAAGAATCCCTAAAAAGTGACCCACGCATTGCAATTGAAATTCAAAGGCTAAGAATTCAACGTGATTGAAGAAGACAATGCGAGAAAGCATAGCCCTATCTGAGATTCGTCTGAGCCCATTGCATATCACCTTCGGCGATAATGTGAAGACATAGTAAAGAAGAAAACACAAGATTCGCCTGCTGAAGAAGAAGTGCAACCCGGAAGCTGATTCAGTCTTTCACTCCGTAAAACCCGTGGAATCCAATGCTGTCTGCCGTGGAAGCCAATGTTATGTAACCAAGGTATAATTCATTCTTTAACTCTGCACTGGCCACCCCCCTGAGTTTGTTGTAACGCACCGTAATATACCCAATTCCCACTGATGCCAAAAAAATCTATGAACTATAGGTGCATACAAGGTGTTCGTTGGAATGCCTAGAAGAAATATATTTTGCCTTTGAAGATCTTTGACATGGGCAGCCACTGATAGGATTATCTAGCATTTATCATCTTCCAGTTTCCAGATATTATGCTTTAAGTTAAGTGTGTACACGTAAGATACACATAACTATTTTTGTTATTTTGAGTGAAATATATGATTATTTTTATTAGTGAATTTAATTTATAATTTTTTATTATTGGACCAAAGGGAAAAAATAAAAAAGAAGGAGAATCAAAATTGCTTGAATCATATACTCGCTTACTTTAGTTTGCCCTAAAAGGGAAGTTAAAAAAAATAAAAAGAAAAATAAGATGGCAATGACATTGTTCATCCTTGAATGCTGGCCCTAGATATCTCAGGGCTTTTTGTTATCATAGTTCCTAAAATCCACACCCCCCCATCCAGCAAAGGCAAAAAACACACACATTCTCTCTCTCCAACTTTAGATTCTTTATTTGATGTCAGCTTTGTCAAAATTTCTTCATTAATTAATATATTTGCAGACGTAATACCCCAATTTGTAATATTCTCAAAGATGTCTTTGTGCAGCTCATGGAAATTACCATCGGTGTTCTCTAGCTCTCCATAGTTCTCCCGCTCGTGTATTGTGAAACTAGGTAACCAATATTTGTA